TTTTTTAATAAGGTTTTAATATAATTTAACCAAGTTTTACTTTTACCATTTAGACAACTGTCTAAACTCTTGATTTCATCCAGCAACCTTAGAGGTGACTGTATGAAATGACTATATTAGTAATTTTATCCTGATGGCTTATCCTCTTTTTTTGAATAAATATAAAAAAGCATATTAGAGTTATTATACAATTTAATATGTTAATAAATTCAGATAAGACTCTAATGTTTAATATGTGGGTGGTATATTATTAAAATTAAGGTATGAGATATAGTAAATCATATGATTAGTATTTCAATTTTAATAGAATACTACTAATGTATTTAAGTGATAAGACGTAAAGGTTAGATTTATTAATAATATGAGTATATTATCCTAATGTTTTTGAAAAGAAAATAGTTTTGGATTAGTTTCTTATATATTGAAAATATTGATATTCTAAAACATAATCATTAAGCTTTTGATTTGCAAACTAGATAACAGCTAAGTTTAACCTTTTTAAGGTTAGATTTAGCATATTGGTATCAAAAGGTAAGACTTAGTGACCTATGAAATTAGATAAGAATTAGCTTTAGAATATTTCTATAATACAGTTAGGCTTGCTTGGTTAGATCTATCTCAAATTGCTTCACTTTATTTCTTGATTTTTGATAGGTCTTCTGAAAGGCAAGCAGAATAGTATAAAATTTATTATTAATATTGGGTTTGCAAGATTAGGCTCATCTCAAATCACATTACTTTATTTCTTGATTTTTAATGTGCCATCTGGGAGGCAAACAGTATAGTATTCTTTTTTGATATATTATTTAGTATTAATTTTAGATTTTAATGGCTATATTAAATAGTATAATTCTTTGTATCTGAAGGGCTAATTTCAAGCCAAGTTCTATACCAACATTTTTTTATATCAGGATTTTATCACAGCCTAGTTTTAATCTTAAATATACTATTGAATTCTTGATATGCTTTCTGATATCACAACATGGTAGGTAATTAACAAAGATTCCATAAAATTTGTATATTAGAAAATGGTGTAAGAAAGCACTCAAAATTAGTATACACTACTTTGGAAACTATCAATTAAATCATCATAAATAATAATATCATTCGATTCTAATTCTTCTACTACTAGAATTAGCAAGTTGTATTGATAATTGAAGGTTATTATCGTAATTAAAGCTAAATGTTTTATTATTCTATTCAAAATCTTTCATATTCATATTTTGAATCATTTGAGATAATCCATGTAATGAAATATTATTAATACTGGAATTAGTAAGTTATTCTGAATATTGAAGTTGTTTCTTCTTCATTATTTATTTAATAATTTTCTATTATATTTGTTTTTGTAATAATTGCATTTAATTCATCAATTCATCAACTACTTTGTTCATTTTTTCAATAGATCATTTTGGTGTTCTAATTATTTTATGTTTTTAATAATAAAAAATGAGTTAAAAAATATATGTAAAAGTCAATATATGTAAATGTCAACCTAATATTGTACCTTGATTTGATGCTGTAATTCCCAAAGACAGATGAAGATCAACTTTCCGTTAATGTTCAAGCTAATTATTGATTAAATATATTAAATGATTTATTTTACACTAAATAGACAGAAACACAATATTGGATTTCATAGTAACCTCACGAACAAGTTCTTTAATAATGGCATTGTTATATACCAATCTCTTGAAAATTGCTAAAATACTCATATTCGTAGTATTTGATATCTTTTTTTGAAATATATATTCTTCAATCCACTCGATTGAATTTTTGGCAGTATGCATTAATCTTTTTTTAATTTGATGTTTAGCAAAAGAAATAATAGAATAACAAAAATGCATTTGATAGGTCATGCAATTAGTTATGGATATTGTACGGTGATTATTTATATTGGTTAACGTCACGAAGTGACGTTAACTAATGTAAATAATCACCATACAATATCTATATTATCGTACAGCTAAAGCAGATCATGCTTAAAAACTCTGAGATTGTTTCTAGTTAGTATTTTGTTAGATGGTTCAGCAGATCTAAAACTTTCTCTTTGAAAAGTATACAATTATTTCGTGATTTTGTTCTTACCAATTATAACGGATGAAAATCGCCTAAAATTTCAGCCAGCATAGGACTATATCATACCAAATTATTGATTCATTTTTTTGTTGTCAGACGCGTAGTTACTTTCTTTACATTCAATTTCAACTCGAGATACTTTCCTTAATTTCTTTTGTTATTATAAGGTAATTATCAAACAAATTTCGCGCGAAAATAATAATAAGATTATTTAAAAATGTATTCCAAGCAAATTTTAGTTTATAAAATTCTTTCGCGACGTTATTAATATAAAAAATCGTTTGAAGCTATTGATAATTAAATTAAATGATGTTTGCTTTACTATAGTTGTCAATATACTTTTTGAAAAATAACTTTATTTAAATATTTATTTAGTTATAATGAATTTGTCTCTACTTTAGAAATAAGTTAATTACTACATTAATTATTTTACGTAAATGATTGCAACAAATCAATACTAATGATAAATCTTTAAAATTACCATGAATACTAGCTCTTTAGTATATTTTATTAAATGATGAAATTTTAGAACGCTAATATGAAATTAAGATAGAAAATAAATTATTTTTAAAGTTATACGATAATTAGCAATATTGAACGCAAATAAGCTAAATATTGTACGATCAATGCAAAATAAAGTATATTATAAAAAAAAATATAGGTTTATCAAACTCAGCATGATCCTATAAGGCCGTGCGATAACCGTATTTATCAAATTTCTAAGCCACCAATCATTATATTTAGTTGTGTATAGTTTTTTAATTAAAATGTAACTTTATAATAATTAATAAGGTTAAATGTTTAATGGCAAGACGACATAACAGAAATTCTAATAATATTACTAGGAAACGGGGTCCAAAGCGTAATGATCGGCAGTGACGGGATAATATGAAATTTACTTCTTTAACCGAATAAGCTAAATTATTTGCGCAGTTCTTTATGTTTTCGAGTTGAATACCAAGGCAAAGGACAGAAGGTATATATTTATAATTTATCTTTAATAATAGTGAAAACTAATCTAATACAACGTAAATAAGGTATAACCTCAATCGTCGGCGCTCAAAATTATCAGATTCGTTTATTAATTAACGGTTTCGGGATTATAATAAATGAAAGGGAAAAATACTAAATAAATGTTATCTATAAATTTGGAACCTTCAAGTGAAATTCCACCATTTTTATATTTTAAATTTGATGATGACTTATTGTCCACAAAGCCATTTTGTCCTCAGAACATATTGGCCGAATGACATATTGGCCACGAAACATATTGGCCAGGAGGCAATTTGGCCAAATTGATATCCTTTTGTGATAAATAATCTTTCATTTCCTTATTTGAAGACGAATAAATTAAAATTACGGTAAATTCACCTGATTTAAACCAATAGAGAACATTCGGAAGCAGTAAAAGATAATATCCAGTACTGCAAGATCTTTACAAGTAATGTAATTGAAATTAAAGCTGCAAAAGCTGCGTTAAAAAGAGAATTGGAAAATTTGTGACTGTTAAGGCACGTCGCGATAGAAAAATTAAAAAATAAAAAAAAAAGAATCTAAAATTAAATTTATTTGAAACATAACAAGAAGCGGTAGTATATTGTTGAAAAAAAAACCATTTACGTCAATACAGTTTCGATAATCAATTTATAAAAAAATTTTTTTCACCCAGTCTATATAAATTATCAGTATGAAGAAAGCGAATAAAAAGTCCATTTTAAATGCTGTCTAAATTTTGAAGAATAATTTAATATCTATCTATTTTCTATTCATTCATTGTGGAATATTGTTCAAGGTTTCCAACAATTTATGAAACTCATTATCTAGTTTCTTTCTATTTATTCTATTTTGTCAAATTTAGTTTAAGAAAAGAATTTTAAGTATGCTTCACATTATAAAAACTACATAAATATCAATTATGAATTTGAAAGCTTAATTATTTGCAAATAAATAATAGTTAGTTATTATAAAATCGTTTAAATCAGTTAATAAAGAAATTTAATTTTTATAAAAATCAATTGCTCTAAATATCTATTTTGCTGCCCTTAAAATATCATCTAATTTAATATTTATCTAATAATTCCGTCATTTATATATTAGTTCGGTTATTTCCATTTGCTCGTATAAATATGAGAGTCTTTTTTGTGCACAGATATTTCCTCCTTTAGCAGCCATCTTGTACAGATCCATTGCCATCTCTTTATCAACACCAGATATAATCCCGTGATCATAAAAATGTCCAACTTTATATTGAGCTTCCGAATATCCTCGATTAGCCGATTTCTTATAAAATTCGAATGCTCTGGTCAAATTTTCACCTACACCTTTTCCCTTTTCATAAAATTCACCTAATTTATATAATGCGACCTTATTGTCAATGTCCGCAGCTTTATGATACCAATAATTAACTTTATCCAAATCATTTATTATCTTATCATATGATGATAATCCAATAATATCTTGTGCACCCATATCCTTCTTCCCAGCGGCATCCTTATAAAATTCAAATCCTTTCTCGCGATTAATCTCTGTACCGACGCCATTTACATAACAATAACCAAGTAAAAACTTTGCATCAAGGTCCCCTCGTTTAGCCGACTTTTTATAATACTTGAAAGCTTTATTCTCATCTTTTCCAACACCATTTCCCAATTCATAACATTCACCTACATTATACATTGCAATCTCATCTCCCTTTTCTGCCGCTTTATTAAACCAATAAAAGGCTTTGTCGAAATTCTTTTCCGTACCTTCACCTTTCTCATACATGTAACCAAGGTTATTTTGAGCGATTTCATAACCACTTTCAGCTGCTATTTGATACCAATAAACGACTTTTTCTGAATCCTTTTCCACCCCTTCTCCCCTTCTATACAAATTACCAAGATTATATTGTGCAAATATATTACCATTTTTAGCAGCCTCATTGAACCAATAAAAGGCCTTAACTGAATTCTTCTCTGTTCCTTTACCATCCTTATACAAGAGTGCAAGATTAAATTGTGCGGCATCATAACCATTTTCGGCCGCTTTCTGATACCAATAAAATGCCCTTTCTAAATTCATTTCTATTCCTTCAGCTTTTTCAAGTAAACAACCAAGATTATTTTGTGCGAATTCATAACCATTCTCGGCTGCCTTTTGATACCAATAGAATGCCATCTCTAAATTTTTTTCAGTCCCTTCCCCTTTTTCATACATGCAACCAAGATTATTTTGTGAGAATTCATAACCATTATTGGCCGCCTTTTGATACCAATGAAAGGCCATTTCTAAATTCTTTTCAGTCCCTTCTCCTTGTTCATACGAATAACCTACATCATTTTGTGCAAAATCATAACCATTTTCTGCAGACTTTTGATACCAATAGAAGGCCTTCTCGAAATTCTTTTCCGTTCCCTCACCTTTACCGTACAACCATGCGAGATTATATTGTGAAATTTTATCTTCATTTTCAGCTGCCTTTTGATGCCATTCAAAGACATTTTCTAAATCCTCAAGATTATCTTGTGAGAGTTCGCTTTCATTTTCCATTAATACAGATACATTTGTTAGATTGTTTTCGGAATCCATCATGATTTAACCGAATGAATATTTTTATCAACTTTTTTTGATTAAAAATGAATTAATATAGGATTATGAAATACGGAACTTTTCCTAATTTGTCAATTTGTCCTTTTGTCACACAATCATTGATCAGCGATATTTCATTACGGAGATTTGAATGAAAAATATTTGAAACTTTACTGCGGATGCCATTTTTTATGATTTAACAATAAAAAAAAAATTTATTCCATTTCCAAAAATATATTAATTACCTAAGGTAATGAAAGATGATGATAGGAGGTAAAAACATACAACATATGTAAGAAACTATACGTTACGTTTCATGTCGAAAAGTTATAACAATTTACGATAAAATAATTTCTTTTGCATATGTGAAAAAAACCAAAAAAAAAAAAAAGTAATTAACCAGATTTATAAACAAAAAAAAAGAAAAGTAAAATTAGAGAAGGAAAAAAAATTTTAATCAAAGCGATTGAATTCAAAAACAACCAATTCCTTCCGAGGTGATCCAACTCGAAAGAGAAACCATGAGAAAAAAAAAATCAAATGGGCGGAAAATACTGCGACCATCGATCGCTAAAAAAAAAAAAATTAAAAATTAAAAAATGAAACTTAACAAATTATGTACTTCCGAAATGATTTAATTCGAAAAATGAAAAAAAATTTGAAAATAAAAAAAAGAATGCTAAAAATTGCTATATAACAAAGGATGAATCATCATCTTAACATATTAGAACTCTTTGTATTAAAAGTATTTTATTTTCATGAAAATGAAATTTTTTTGTATTGTCCTACAATTTGTGATTTAAAACCGCTACGTCATAAATAACAATCCATAGATACCGGCTATTTTTACGAACAGACTTTTATTAAATAACAATCAGGCAAAAAAAAAAAAATAGCGAAACAATTACACCTCTTCGTAGTAAAGTTTTGACGTTCCCAGTTACGATTTGTGTAATATCCTACGTCACTTTGTACTGATAATTTCTTATGACGACATATAAATTATAAATTCAATTTTATATAAAAGATTGGCGGACACTGTGTATATTTCCATTTTTTTTTCTTAAGAAGTGACAAATAAGATTTTTAAATTTTACGAAAATAATTAAAAGGTTATTCATAGTTAAATCTTAAAATCTATTTTGGTCAAGAGATCGAGTATACACACAGCCCCACATCATTATATCATAGTGGTTGAAAACATTGCCTTTCAACTAATCCCTAATCTTATAAAGTAACGACGGACACGTGATTAGTGTAACAAAAGTAGGAGTCCATTTTTCAATTATCACAAGAAGTTCAACGAGTTGATTGTTTTCTATGGGACTTATGAAATTGACAATTCCCGTACATTAAAGCCATAAATTTTTGATCGTGGCTCTCACAAGAGGTTAATGTGAGAAGGGTCGTACAACTAATACGTAAATTTAGACATATTCAAAATTGTAATACCATTCAATCGATCGAACTGATTTTAGCGTACTGCAAATTGTTTCAACAGAACATTCTTTTTTGTAAACAATGAAAATTGCCACCGGACTTCCCAAATCGGCAATTAATATAAGATATCAACAATTATTTTCGTTGTAAAACTAATCCAATTATTAAAAAAATGTTGTTGAAATACAATTTTTTATAAAATAAAACAGAATCAATTGTTGTAAAGTTATTCCCAGAACCTGCCGGACCGTAATATGAGGCTTCCACATCAGGTAAATCAAATGATAATTTCCAACATAGATAAATACAGAACTATTTCACGAAAAAAAATAAAAATAAAATATTTCTATTAGGATAAAAAAAAATCTAAACGATGAAATCATTTTCAATCCTCGCATCGATTACTCTCGTATTTGTTTCATCAAGAATGATTCACACAAAAGACATAGACTATAGTTATAGTGGAATCACGGGACCAATGTTTTGGGCTGATTTAGAAGGAAGCGATGAGATCTGCAGCTCTGGAAAATATCAATCACCAATTGATATCCCTCAAGAAGAAATCCATAAATTTTCTAAACCTGACTATGTAACATTTGAAGATGCCGAGAACGTCGAAATCGTTAATAATGGTCATACAATTCAAATTTCTAACAAGGAAAATATTTTGCCTGCTACAATGAAGATTGGAAATGATCATTATGATTTGGCACAATTTCATTTTCATACACCTTCCGAACATCTTGTTGATGGAAAATATTTTGATGTTGAAGTTCATTTTGTTTTTCAAACAAAAGAAGGAAATCTTTCAGTTATTGGTATCTTTTATGATGTCTCTAAAAATCAAAATGATTTCTTGTGCCCAATTATCGATAATGTAACCGAATACTTTCTTTTATATATCACCTATCTAATACTTAATAATTTTTCCCGATATTGACCAGCTATTATTATAATTCAATATAGCTTCCTCTTAAAAAAAACGATAGTCTTTTAATTGAGTTTATTAAACTCTCGTCGGTATTGGAAGATATTGATTATATGAATCAGGTAACTTTATTAACAATATTCGCGCCTATGATTTATAATAAATTTAAACTTGACGTGTTCTTTTCAATACGTAGGCTTATACATATCCCGGAAGTCTCACCACTCCTCCATGTAGCGAAGGAGTCATCTGGTGGGTCAATAAGATCGTTCAGCCAATCAGCTTAAAACAGTACAAACAACTACGTGACGTCATGGGCTTTAATTCACGTTTTCCTCAAGTTATAAATTATTAAGTAAAATTAACTCGAATAATATTTTTCGCGATCATTTGGATTTTTAAATTATTGTTGTAATTGTAATATTATATTTATAACTTTCTAAAAAAAGCATGACGGTTTTAATAATAAAATCATAAATAATGTAAAAATATAAGAAAGCCCCTTTTATTATTTCACATGAGCAGGAAAATAACGGAATAAGAATCGTTATTTTAGACAAGGCTGCTATTACATATATGATCAGCAGACCGGCATGGACGCATAGCTCATATCTCCATTTCGTCATCCCGAAACTTAAATTGTAATAATTTTGTTAGGCTATTATTACAATTTTATTAGAATAGTAAAATATGAATATCTTGGACATTTAAGAATTTACCAAACCAAATTGTTTCATTCAGCGCTTTTTATGATATGGCATTCGTAAATAAGTCTTATTTACAATATATTTTTGAAAAAGGGACATCATTGCTGAAAAATCAGGTTCTGAGTTCTTTTTTTTTGTAAATTAAAATACAATACAATTTCTGTTTGTGACATTTGATTTTTTTATGAATGTGACAAGTTCGACACCTTAAAGCCACTGGATTATGGAATATTAAATAAATATATTTATAAATATTAGGTTACACAAGGGTAAAATTTTTATTTTGCGGCGTGTATGTTATTTAATATATTGTATGCAAGGAAACAAACATTTATAGAAATTCTTTATTATGTTTATTTGTAACACAAAATTTCAAAAAAATTTTACCATTTTTTCCATTAACGTCAAGTATGTCAAATATGACAACAGATTAAATCGAGTCGAATTCTTATCTTAATTGTGTTAGTAATTTTTTGTTTGTTCTAGCTTTAATAATATAAAGAAATATAAATTTATAAAAAATAAATAAAAATCAGTAGGTAAACTAAATAGTGAACGCAATCTTTATTATTACAAAAGGGGGGGCCATATTCTTTTTTACAAACATGCCAATGGTAAAATGCGTTCAAAAAAGAGAGAGAATAGTTCAAATTGGTGCATGGAAAATGATATGAATAATTTTCTTGAATAATTGATATTATTGATATTATTGAGACTTGAGAATTTAATGTTGTTGATTTGTAAGCTCACTTATGCCAAAATGATTTTATTGAGTTTCTAGTACATCAGATCATAGATCAATTATTAATAAATTTAATATTAAGTAATCCAAAATATATATCATTAAATAAAATACATGATCGTTTTGGCGTAGTTAATGAACTCTAACGATCTTTTAGATCTTTTAATACATATTCGCATGAAGCAAGGCTTTGACATGAAATAGTTTTAAAATGAGTGGAATATTAAGAATTTTATCTTAAATAAAAATAAGTAATTTCAATAAATATTTTAAAAATTTTTTATAAACATCCAATTATTTTAATTATTATTATTATTATTATTATTTTATGCAATAATGAAGAAATCCTGCAAAAAAAAAAAATTGATAAATTCAGTAATTGACCGTAAACGTTTTTAGATACTTACTATTTAAAGATTTTACATCGAAATTATGTCTGGATTAATTTTATTTATGGAGTTTGAATTTTCTGAATGCAATTTAATCAAAATTAAATGAACTTTCAACTACAAATTTAATTCATCTGCTTTTTAATAATAAATTTAAAAAAATTTTCGAGATTATAGCGTTTAATTTTATTTAATAAAGTAAAAAACTACAATATGGCAGGGCAAAAAAATTTTCGAGATTATAGCGTTTAATTTTATTTAATAAAGTAAAAAACTACAATATGGCAGGGCAAAAAAATTTTTTTTAGATTCTCGCGATCCGGCCACCTTCAATTTTTATGGATTTTTTTTTATATTAGAATTTATTATCACGTGACTTTATATAATGAAAATCGTAATACATATAAAAACTGACTGGGTGTCAATTTTAAAATTTTATGAATTTTTTTTGCCCGGCCCAAAAGTGAACTGATATTTTTATATTTACTTTATTATTTTTTTTTTTTTTTTTTTTTTAGACGCGGTGAAGCCATTATTTATTAAAAATTCAAATTCAAATTACAAAATAAAAAGAAAATCCCAGAAAAGGGTACAAAAGTAGAAAAAAAATAAAGTAAAAGCTGCTTAGCCTTCCTCGAAGGGATAAACCAACTCTAACCAAACCAACCGGTTGTCTCGTCACGCTTCAAATCAACTACGTAGAGAAGAAATATCAATACATGACAGGGAAAATTCATTTGAGACAACTAGTTTTCACTACGCTAAAAAAAGTCCAAGATCTTCCGTGAATGAAAGAGTTAGTAAAAATATCTAAATGATTTATATTGCTATCATTATTAGGAGACGGGTGCGGAGTGGGAGTCTGTTTACATCTACTCGATTTAAGTCTCTTATTTTTGTTTGTGATGTTGATGGATAATTCCTTTTCAATAATTAAAACACATTTGGGTTTCTGTATCAAGGTGATTGATTGTTCAATAAGGTGATCATAAAAAGCAGATAGAATAGCAAGGGTTTTTGTTTGGCAATTGGTAAAATTATTGATGAGAAGATAAAATTGGGAAAGTACAATTCTTTTGATGAAGTCGATAAGGGTGAAAGGGGGATGAGATGATTGAGGCACAGACCAATAAGAATGGAAAGGGTCGAGAATATGTTGGAGTTCAGATAACCATTTATAAGAGGAGGTGTGTATGAAGAGATGATTTTTAAGAGTTTGGATACTACTACTGACAATATCAATGATGGTAGGTTGAACTTCTAAGCAGGTCCAAATGTGTGTGAATGTTTCATTTGTAGTGTTACAGCGATAGCATTTCTATGTCGAGTCATAAAGATTGGGTAGAGTGAGCTTGAGAAATTCTACTGTGAGCAATTGTTCCAAAAGGAGTTGGTATCTTCGTTTATGGTAGTATGATTCCTTATAAGAAGTTTGATTATTTGAGTCGAAATTAATGAGTTTAAATGTACAGAACCAATTAACAGGCTTATTTTTGTAGTGTTATTTCTTTGAAGATTGTAAAAGTCACAGAAGGATTTAGTGTTGATGAGGTCTTTAAAAAAGGGTCAAATTTCTTTGTTAATAGGATTTGATTGAAAGGTGGGAATGAAAGAGAGATAAGGAACGTGTGATAAGGAGAGGGAAATAGGAGAATCAGTAAGTACAGATTTAGCTAGACGGTCTACTTTTTCATTGAAAGGATTTCCAGAGTATGCTTTAACTTTTATCAATGATAAAGTTAATTGTTTTTGTTCAATAAGTTTGAAAATAAAACACCAATGTATGTAAAATGGGGTTTTAAAGAGCAAAGAGG